TTCTCCTCTTGGGACTTTGGGTGTGTATGCACACAAGCCCAGAGTGATTTTCAAGCCTCTGGGTCCAGTACTCCAACCGCAGGGTTGGCCACATGGGAGTGTAGTGCCTTAACCACCATGCCACCTGCTGGTCCCCCAGCCATTTTTAATGGCTACTTTTAAGTCTTCTCTAACATTCAGTATCTGGACCCCTCTCAGAGATGGTTTATACTGACTGCTTTCTTCTCCTTAAGTATGGGTCTCATATTCCTGATTATTTGCACATCTTGTAATTTTCTGTTGAAACAAAATATTTTAGATAATATTTTGTATCAAATGCAGATTTAATTTCTACCTTGACTCCAGCTCCTCAACCTAGGGTTGTTGCTTTTACTGGGTTTTTATTTTTTTAGTGACTTGCCTGGACTAATATGAAGGAATTTTTTTTTCCCTTGCAGTGTACAGTGGTTGATGTCACTCTTATTTATTAATTTTTAATTGCCAGAGGGTGTGTTCACTCACCAGAGAAAGAGAGACAGAAAGATTGAGAGAAAGAGAGCAAGAGAAAAAGCACTCCCCAGTTGGGTTTGGTTACCGTGCAACCCCTGTCATCCATCTCTCTGCCCCACTGGGATTTAGGGCACGCACACACGTGCACACAGCTTGTTTTTCAAGGGCCAGGACTGAAACCATAATCACCCATATAGTATCCAGGTCCCTTAACCGCTAGTCTATGGGGCTGGTCCTCTTGCGAGTCTTATTAAAATTCTTGTTTTCTTTTCTTTTTTTTTTTTAGAGAGATTTTTGCTATAGGATGTGTACACTCACTGGAGAAACAGAAAGAGACAGAGAGACAGAAAGTGAGAAATCACCCCTCCCCCCAGGGGGGATGGCCACATTGGAATCTGTTTTCCTCTCAGGATTTTGGGCACACATGCACATGTGCCAGCATGAATTTTAAGCTGCTGGGTCTGGGACTTGAACTGTTGTCAACTACATGGGAGCCCAGGGAACTAACCATTATGCCATCTGCTGGTCCCCTTGTTTTTGTTTTTAATTGTGGCTTCATAAGGGCTATTCCTGTATCAGGTCCATTAATGATTTATTAGAAGTTGTACTCAAACACCATAAGACAGTAAGAATTTTTTTTTTTTTTTTTGCAGACGTTTTTGCTACAAGGAGCGTGTGCTCACCAGAGAGACAGAGAGAGACAGAGAGACAGAAAGCGAGAAATCACTTCCCAGAGGGGATGGCCACACCGCAATCTCTTCTCCTCTGTTCTCCTCTCGGGATCTTGGGCACGCATGCACACGTGCCTGGCGTGAGTTTAAGCCGCTGGGTCCAGGACTCGAACCACGGTTGACTACATGGGAGTTCAGCGACATAGCCATTACACTAACTACTGTTCTCAAGACAGTAAGAATTTTATCCTTTGCCATATGAGAGTTGGGGAATACACTCAAAATTCAGGCCATTTACAAGTCTACTCTAGTTTTGCTTTTCGCCAACTCTCCGTGTGTTTCCTCTGTGAGCAAGGCTTCATGTTTGGCCAGGGATGCCTGGACAGCTCGGTTTCTCTCTGGTCTTTCCTGAGCATGTAAGCAGCCTTGCAAATGTACACAGCTTTCCAGACTGCCAGAGGTATGTGAGAAATTACCCAACTTACTATAGCTGTCTTCTTCCGTGGATCTTTCTTGTACTTTTCCAGTGAGTTTGTCTATTATTTGCCCCAACTCCAGGCTAGCTGTGACTTTGGCCTTTCCCATGTGCTCAAAACTGGGATCTCTACTGTTTTTGTCAGAGCTCAGGGCAAGTGGTTTTTCCATTTTCTGCTCTAAATCAAGCCAGCTTGCTAATGAAGTTGTTGGTTTTCATAGCCTGTCCTGCCTCAGAACTAACAAACCAAGGAAATGCTATTTTTCTTTTCTTTTCTTTTCTTTTCTTTTCTTTTCTTTTCTTTTCTTTTCTTTTCTTTTTTCTTTTCTTTTTTTTTTTTTTTTAGATTTTGCCATAGGGCATGTGCACTCCCTGGAGAGAGGAAGAGACAGAGACAGAAAGAAAAAGAGAAAGAAAGTGAAAAATCTCCCCCTCCCCCGGGGGAATAATAGCCACACCATAATCCCTTCTCCTCCATTCTCCTTTCAGGATTTTCGGCACACACACACACATGTCCAGCATGTTTTTCAAGCCACCAGGTCTGGGACTAAAACCACAGTCATATGGAACCCAGTCGCTTACCACATGTCATCTGCTCTTCTAATTGTGTTTTGTTTTGTTTTCCTTGAATAAGTATTTCTTAAGTTTTGTGTGCCTTGGATTGAGTTACAACACTCTGAAATTGTTTTGACAATTTTGCTCAACTTTGTGATTACTTTTTTGGGAGAGCGTTTGCCAAACTCCTCACTCTGCCATTCTGCCTCATCATTACAATATAAACAGAATTTTATGGTCAAAGTGTTTTTAAAAACTACATTGGGTGGATAAAAGGAAGGGGAACTAGATCTTTATCTTCCCAAATGGGAGGTCAATTGATAATGCCCAAAGCTGAAAAATCAAGACATAGCACTATGAACATGTTGTTTAGACACGAAAATACACACAAATAAAAGAATTAATAATGGTTACATTTGAGGAAAGGAAAATGGGGACAAGGAGTATGGGGTATATTTTTAGCCTCATAGAAATGTACAAATTCATTATATTACGTCTATATTTAACTTTAATAAAAAGTAAAAAAAAAAAGGTGTTAAGAAAAAGATTTAGTGAAAGAAAAGAAAGCATTTCACCTCAGCCAACCTGAGTTGAATCCTGGTTCTATAACACATCAGCTGTGTGACTTTTGTCAGGGAACTTAATATCATCATCAGGCCTTAGGTTAGTCTTCTAGAAAATAGAGTCCTCATTTTTGCTTTGTTTTTAAACAAAAATTCTATTACTTTTACTTTTTCTTTAAAACTCTTCATCTCTGTCCCAACACACACAAATATTTATCTCCATGAAGCTCATTCTAGAAGCTTCTGAGAGCCCTTAGTAATGACAACACTATTATATGCCAGGCAACAAAAACCACAAAGACAGATTGTTTGTCTTTAGATAGGGTTACATGTCCACCAACGTCTGGTCACCCCAAAGCTCTTGAAAATTAATTTTTATGATCACTCTTTAGCTAATGACTAATGAAGCCCAGGTGTTTTAGGCACCATCTTTATTTATTTTTAAAACTTTCTTTAAAGAATTATTCATTAAAATTAAGTTTATTATTATGATTGTTTTAAAATTTGTTATAGGGCACATGTATTCACCAGAGAGAGAGAAAGAGGGAAAGTGAGAAGGCAAGCCACCAGGTCCAGGATTCAAACCTCAGTCAGCCATATGGGAGTCCAGCACCCTAACCGCCCCACCTTCTGGCCCCCTAGGCACTGTCTTTATGATCAGCCTGGCTATATTCACTCTGAGCTCTCCATTCCTCCTACCTAGAATGTAGTGTCCACAAGGTCAGAGACCACATCTTCATGGTTGGCTCACACACCTATAGGAGTGCCTGACACTAGGTGATCAATGCAATTTGTTGAATGACTCGACGACTCCGGGTAGCCTGACAGGCATTTGTGTCCTCATCACCTATCACAGGTTGCTCTCAACGCCTGCAGAAATGGGGTACTGTTTTGAAAATAGAATGGGCCCAGGGGCTGGATATACGCTGCATGTGGAACGAACCACCACCCAGGTATGGGATGCTGGCCTTAGATTTTTGTCTTATTTTTCATTTTGCCTTGTTTTTTAAACAAAATGCTATGACTTTTACTTTTTCTTCAAAACTTTTTATCTCTGTCCCGACACACACAAATATTTATCTCCATGAAGCTCATTCTAATATCTTATATTACTTTACACTATGGTTTAGAGTCTAGAATTGAAGTCAAGAAACTCAAATAGCTCATGTTCTATTTAGAGATGCTTGCTCTTCCAAAAGTCAAGTTTACAGAATACATAAATATGGGCAAGGTTATGAGCACCTCAAAATATGCTAAATTCAGAAAAGCGATCATCTCTAAATTCTGATAGAAGGCAATTTCACTGGTCTACTTAATATATTCTTCACTTTGGAAGCTCTGGAATGTTTAAAGTTCCGGAGTTAGAACACACCTGCATAAATATTTCACGATCACAGTGTTAGGGAATGGGCACGGCAACATCACCCTATTTCAGCGTCTTTTACAATACAACATTTAGAACTGCCATTTTAATTCAAGCGGTATCCCTTAGGTTAAGGAAAGGGAATGAGAAACCAACAAAAGATGAATAGTTTGGGCTCCAGTTGGCTTTTTTCAGGCCAGAGTTTATTGTTTACATGAAAATCTTGTAGTGTTGGCCAAGAGTTCTCAAAGGCAACTGCCAGGCTGCTGGCGCCATGAAAGGAATCATTTCCTGCAGAAAGCCAAAGCATGAGGAATTCCTACAGGGGCCCCTCTCTGATTGGGCTCCAGCGGGTGAGCAGAGAATCTGACGTGGATGACCAACTGTCACCTGTATTAGGATCATGTGGGGGCAGAAGAACTTTCTGACGTGCGGCTGAGTCAGGTCTCTGACACAGAGCCGTCTGCTGAGTCTCCTCACTGTAAGGTGACAGCACAGGACAGCAAGGCCCCTGGTCTGGGTGACCATGGAGCAGGGCAAACATAATGGCCTGGGTGGAGGGGAAGGCTACAAACCATTGATCTTCTTAAAACCTCCACCCACTGGTTAATATGCAATCCAGTTCGATAGCCCTTGAGACTTACTTGCTCCGGCCATCTGCATTCGCACCCCGCCACGTTATCAGGCTGCTTCCTCTGACCCCTTGACTTTGAGAGAATTACTCCAAGTGATGTTTCATCTTAAGTGTCAATCTGACTAGACTAAGGAGTATCACCCAGATAGCTCATGAAATGTTATGTCTGGGTACCTCTGGGAGGGTTTCTAGAAGAGAGTAGCATGTGAATCAGTAAACTGAGTAAAAAAAAAAAAATGACAGTACTTACCAATGTAGGCCGCATCAGTCAATCCAATGAGGATCCGGATGGAAAAGGTGGAGGAGGGGTGAATTCGGTCTGTCCCATCTTGAGCTGGAGCATCCATCTTCCCCTGCCCTCGGACACTTGGTGCTCCTGGTTCTCAGATTTTGGATTCTGGGACTTCTACCAGTGATCACCCCCATAGTCGGGACTCTGGCCTTGGACTGCGTTGCACCCCTGGCTTTCCTAGGTCTCTGGCCTGTACACAGCAGGTGGTGTGCCTCTCGGCCTCCACAATCATGTGATCCCATAGCCGATCTCCTCTTAGGGAGACCCCTACGCATCCTCCTGGCTCTGTTTCTCGGGAGGAGTCCGAGTAGTAAACTCAGCTCCTCTGCTTATCCATTCCTCCCTGATACTAGAGAGTATAATGTCACCCCTACTCTTTTTTTTGGAGAGGTTTTCGCTATAAGGTGTGTGCGCTCGCCAGACAGACAGAGAGAGACATAGAGACAGAAAGCGAGAAATCACCCCCCAGGGGGGATGGCCACACCGCAATCCCTTCTCCTCCATTCTCCTCTTGGGATCTTGGGCACGCACGCACATGCACCCAGCGTGAGTTTTAAGCCACCGGGTCCGGGACGCGAACCGCGGTCGACTATGTGGGAGTCCAGTGATATAGCCATTACGCCAACTGCTGGTTCCCACCCCTATTCTTTTTTAAAAAAGAATGATTTTGTTTAACTTTATTTATTCACTGTTTTTTAAAATTTGACCAGAGAGCGACAGAGTGAGAGAACGAGAGCGAGCGAAAGAGAGAAAGTGAGAAAGCAAGTGCTAAGTTCGGGACTCGAACTGCGGTTGACCATTTGGGTGTTCAGTGTCTTTTATTTATTTATTAATTTTTTGGAGAGGTTTTTGCGATAGGGTGCGTGTGCTGGCCAGACAGACAGAGAGAGACAGAGAGACAGAAAGCGAGATATCACCCCCCAGGGGGGATGGCCACGCCGCAATCCCTTCTCCTCCATTCTCCTCTCAGGATCTTGGGCACGCACGCACACGTGCCCAACGTGAGTTTTAAGCCACCGGGTCCAGGACGTGACCCGTGGTCGACTGACTACATGGGAGTCCAGCGACATAGCCATTACGCTAACTGCTGGTCCCCCTTTTTTTTTCTTCCTTTTTTTCTTTGGAGAGGTTCCTGCTATAAGGCGCATGCACTCGCCAGAAAGACAGAGAGAGACAGAGAGACAGAAAGCGAGAAATCACCCCCGAGGGTGGATGGCCATGCTGCAATCCCTTCTCCATTATCCTCTCGGGATCTTGGGCACGCATGCACATGCACCCAGTATGCATTTTGGGGCCAATGTCAACTAAATGGGAGTCCAGCGACATAGCCATTATGCCAACTGCTGATCCCAGGTGCTCAGTGTCTAGTCACCATGCCACCTGCCAGCCCTATTGTCATTCCTATCCTGAAGCTGTTAGTAAAGGCACAGCGATGTAGGTGGCAGAAATTGCTGGGAAAAGTCACCTCTAAGCCGAGCTGTGTTATGATTTTTCTTGTGCCGGAGTTGTTTATGCCTCTGTGGGCCTCTTTCTCCATAAAAATACCTTCTTAAAATTATGTTTCATGGCCATAAAACATAGTAGTATAATGGTGACTATATTAACATATAATAAAACATTTTCTTTGACGTGAACATTCATTTTTTTTCTTCTGATTTTAAAAAGTAAATAAACATTTTCATAAGCCCCTAAAAATACTAGAGGCCCAGCCAGCCCTGAGGCTGGTGGAGTGGGAGCCAAATCCAGCATGGTCTGCTGTGTGGTTTGAGCCCCGGATTCAGTGGCTGGAAAAAATACACCAAGTGTGTGCATGCATGCCCCAGTCCTGAAGGGATGGAGAAACAGAGAAGCGATTGCAGCGGAGACGCCCCACTGAAGGGCCTCCCCGCCCTGCCTCTCACTGGTGCATGTGCCCTCCAGCAAATTAAAGAAAAAGAAAGCATGTGACCTGCTGTGCCCAGTGGATAAGTTGGCCTTGCTATGAAGTGATCTAAGGTGATGCTCCTTTTATGACACAGACTGCCATGTCGTTAAGAGTCGGGCCTTGGGAGTTCCACGGGTCTGGGTTTATACAACCTGAAAGAAACCAGAGTATCCTGGTTCTGCTCTCTGAGCTGCAGTGCCTTGAGGAAGTTGCTGAACTTTTCTTCTGATCTATAAAATGATGTTTCCTCAGCAGGACTGACGTAAAAAGATGAAATATTTAGCATAGCGTGCTTGTCTCTGAAATGGTAAATGCTCAGTGCCTGGAATGGTAACAGTGGTAAGACACTCCAGGTGAACCCCGTCAGCTGCCCTGCCCCTTGGTTAGATCTGCTGGCACCAGCCGTCCACCTTGTCCCACTGCCCATAATTTGATAGTGCACGGCAGCGAGAGCTCTGGTCTAGACGACCGTGGAACAGGCCAAACGCAATGGCTTGGGAA